TGCACCTGTTTGTAAATAATTAATTTTTTTTATTTAAGCCTCATGCACACTGGGCTTAAAAAACCCCAAAAAAAACAGCTTTTGCAAGCGCTTTATTTTTTTTTTCCAGCCTGTAAAAGCACCTGTTATACTGGTTTGTGTCCCCCCAGCCGTACACTACAGCAGCCATAGTTTTTATACACTGCACTGATGATGGCCAAATATCCTGAAGCAATAGCATGCAGTTTTGTAATAAATGACTCTTAATATTAGTATTACTGTTATATTTGCACTATGAACAGTCATTCTGGATATGCAACTGACCAGAGGAGCAAAAGGCAATAATGTTCATGGCTCCACCTACTGTCCTGAAATAAGAATGATCCTCTTAAAGGCTACGTTTAGGTATAAATTTTTTTTTTTTTTAATCAGCACAAGGGACAGTTATTATATTTAGTTTATTAAAGCGTTTATTGTATATAATGGCAATACTACATACAAGGTAATTATATTTAATCTGAGTTACAGTGCCAGCTGTCCTAGTTGAAGTCCTTTGCCCCTTTCACTTATACCATGCAGCTGTCATTTTCTGGCTTTACAGGCGTTAATAGAGATAAGGAACCTGTCACAGGAATTCATCAAAAGTGCTGACTATACCAGCCCTCTCCACACACTCCTGCATTCACAGAAGCTGTACTGTAGCTTCCATGATTGAAAAGCGATCTATGAATGGAGGAGATGGACATTGCATTCATGTACCTGTCCTCCAATCATAGATCACTTTTCATTTGAGGAAGCTGTAGTACATCTATGAATGGAAGAAGGGTTTGGAAATGGCAGGCATAGTCGGCACTCTTTGGGTCACCACATACTTTACAATCCCTTTTCGATCTACCAACAACTATATAATGCAAGAGCCTTTCTGATTGGAAGCAGATTGATTAGATAGTTTTAGGTAAAATCTTCTGTTACCTAGTTCTGGTAGATTTGAGGTTGATTGTATGGTCAGATTGTAACAGGTATCGTGAGCCTTTTGAGTGGCTGTGACAAGTCCCTTGGCTTTATTAACCCCCAAAGATTTAATCTGTGGGTGTATGGGAGGAGCAGAGGACTTTGGACTTCAACCAAGACAACTGGCACCAGCACAGGGGACACTTTAAATTAAATGTAAGTAACATCCCTTGTTTTATGTAAATTTAGGCTTTAATTCTGGGATAGGTGATGGAATAAGAGATGTGAATACCTTCTGTTATAAGAAGCCTTTGCTGTACTACACACTGTGTATCCATATTGCCTGAGGACTGTTTATATACAGTGAGCCAGGTAATGATATTTTGAAATATTGCTAGTATTTACTTTTCCTATTGAATAAGTGTGCTATGGTTGTGGCTGTCAGCCAGGTTGTATTTGTTTTTTTTTTCTGACAAATGTCCTATTCCCACAAGATAGGACTGCCCACACTTTTCACCTTGGCATTAAGGATACATCACTAAAATTCCTATATAATCTGAAACACATTCATTTCAGTTGAATATTTTTTCCTTAACAGTCATTTTCAGTATTTTTAAAGTAGAATTCCAGGTTTCAATCAACTTTAGTTTGTTTTGGCCAAGCTGGCCCAAACAAACTACTTCCATTAGTAAATGATGCAGCCTCTGAGTGTTGTTATATACAGTATGTAGACGCATTCACTACATACAGTAAGCAGCTCAGTGATCCGCCAGCAGTACGGGCTCCTTCCTGTCTGCTCTTGGAATTAGTGAGTTGGACTGAGTGCTTCTCTGCTATTCAGGAGAAACCTTTTATTTTTATCAATGAATACAAGGCTTCCTCTTATTGGCCGAGGTGGAAGGTGGACATATGACATCACAATTTTTCTAAATTTGACAAAGTTGGTATAAAATAGCATGCATGAAAGCATCCATAGACAGATCTGATGACATTCTCCTACTAGTATAATCATTTTCATACATTAATGCAAAACTTTAGTGAACTTAACCTCTTGGCGCTGGCGGTACGCAAATATACAGCCTCTCAGTGGGTGGGCCTCAACGCTGAGAGGCCACATATTTGCATACCAGATGTAAACACGTGCTGAGAGTGTGTGCTCTGCATGCAGTCATGTGACCGCTGTGATAGCCAATCATGGCAGTCACAATCATAAATCCGGCCACGTGGCGCCAAGGGGTTACTGAATGAGAAACATTGATTTTTCTCCTGTATTATTTGTGTCTATGTATTCTTTGTTCCTACTGTCCTAGACGTTTGAATGCTTTCTTACAAAGCAACAATTGTTAAGTATGTCTACATTGTTTCACCAGCTTATATTGCTGAAATATTTGAATGTGTGCAGTGTTCTCTTTTTTTTATACTTGTTCTGGACTATTTTAGGGACCGTTCACACTACTGTGGAGTTTTATGACGTGCATTATGCTGTGCAATGGCTCGCTAATGCACAAAAACAGTATATGGAACACCTACCTACATCTACACACCCACAATGCACATCAGCACGTTCCTGAGCTGCAACAGCTGTGTCTGTGGGCAGGATGCAGTGGGGTTCTGTTTGGAGTGTGCACATAAATCAGGGCAATAGTGGAAATGATTTCATGGATTATTTATTTATTTTCAGAAAGTATCCAGGATGTGGCAATATAGTGACGTTTGCACAGTTTTTGCTTATAGCAATAGAAGGCTTTATCTTTGAGTCAGACTTTGGAAGAAAGCGTCCTGCCATAGCATTAAGGTATAGTGGACTTGTGGGTCTTGAACAGCACATTTTTTATTTAGGCAATATTGAATCGTACCTAACTTATTTTTCTTTTCTTGTTAAAGGTATTATGTTATCATGGTGGCTATGTTTTTTACAGTCAGCGTGGTGAATAATTATGCACTCAACCTCAATATTTCTATGCCACTGCACATGATATTTAGATCGGTGAGTAGAACACCTGCACCTTACAGTTTGCTCTAGGTGAAAATTAAAGGATATGCACAAGCATTAAATTGGTTGTAATGCCTGAAAGTTGTTTTACCTTCATACATTCTATGCAGTAAGGTTAAAAAACCTCCAGTATGCAACTCCCCCTGCAGCCCCCCCAATACTTACCTGAACCCAATCACGTTAAAAAAAAAAAAAAAGCGGCTGTGTGGGGCTCTGCCCACATGGACACGTCATTCATTCACAGAGTTTTGTGGATGAGAGAACTACAACTACCATCAGCCATAGTGGTGAGTGCTCTAGGTAGTTCATTGAGTCTTCCTGTCTAATAAAAAAAAAAAAAAAATATGCACATATATTTACCTTCGTGAGGTGAATATATCCCTTATACCCCACCACACTGTAAGACTACAGCACGGCAGGATGGATTTGATTTAAATCACTAGTGAAAAGCCTCAATTTAAATCATAATTTTTAAAGAGCAACTGTCATCTTTAATGGGATGGCTGGTGATTCGACAGTGACCCAACAAGGTGAGGGACATGGCGGCAGCAGGTGAGCGGGTGCTCGCTAACAAGCGCTGCCATGATGGATCTAAAATGACAGGTGTTCTTTAAATGTAAGGAATCCTACGCATTTTGCTGGTAGTTAGAATCTTTAATATTTTCCAACCAAATGAAGGTTTCCTTTTTTGAATAATACGCTGTCAGGTTAGTAAAACAGTGATATCCAAACCGATTTTAGGTTAATAGGTTAATCACACATAGCTGGAGAACTACTCAAATTCTTTTGTTTTGTGTTTTTTCTCATGGTTACTGTGAAATTGTGTCAATGCATCAATGCAGTGCATGTTATCTCAGCTTGCAGAGCTTAGATTCATTGAATGAGTTTACCAAAAATGTAAATATTGTAGAGTATACAGCCTCGTGCTACATAACTATGTTTTATGTTGAATAAAATAAATTATTAATGTATCTTAAATAGAAAACTATCTTTAGATAGATTTGTACTCCAGAAGCATCTTATTAAAATAAATTTGATAAAAATAAAGAAAATCCGTTTTAAATTAAAAAAAAAAATCAGATTTAATTATTTATTATTTTTATAAATCATGGATTCTTATCCACCCTGCAGTGTGGGGAGGAAAGGAATCAGAGGAGAGGATTTCAACTAACGCAGGAGACCGTGGCACAAGGGACGCATCATACTGTCTGTAAGAAATGTTCCATGTGCTGAGTTTTGTTTTTTTTTTTTTTTTACTAAACTTAGGCTATAAGCAAAATACAGATTTTCAAAAATATTAAATACAGACGTGTAAACCATTACATAAACTCTGTGGTGTCATAAATTAGTAACCTGTACAATAGTTAAAAAAAGCGCCTGCAAAGCTCAAGAAAAACTCTTCCCTATGTATGTTTGTGTATGGTTTCACACTAGGGCATTGCAAAAAACAGCACCAAAAACACCTCTTCCAATTAAAATCAATGGAAACCGCCTAAAAACGCAGCCGAGAAGAGTTTTTGGTGCAGTTTTTAAGTCACATGTCCTTAAAAAAAAAAACACTGCAAGCACTGTAAAAATGCATATGCGTTTTTTGCTGCATTGTTGTGGTGGATCAATGTGACAGCGCCCTTATTCATCCTGGGTATAAACACAGAATTTTGAACTAAGTGTTTATTCTGCCTGTTATTCAACCTTTCTTTTATCCTCTTCCTTTTTTTTTTTTTTTTTTTTTTTTTTTTTTTTAAACAAAATTTGACTATTTTATTTATCATATACATCTTCTATTGTATGACTCTGTATACATTGCTCACAATATTTAAACAACATTTTTCAGGGATCATTGATAGCGAACATGGTCCTGGGTATCGTGATTTTGCATAAAAGGTAAGCGGTTGCATCTTCATCAATTCAGTGTCCCTTGCTGTGCATCAGGGCTGACCAATGAAATAGGCATTCATGTTTTCACATCTCAAAAACTCTCCTAAGATGTGGCCGTTTAAAGTGTTACTAAACCAAGGACCCTGCATTCACTATATCTTGTCTCCCACAGTACACAGAACATGGAAATGCAATTATTTTAGTAAATCTAAACTGCTAAATACCTTTTCTCATCAGCAGTTAGAGCAGTCTTGTGACCTCTATCAGTGTCCAGACAAGCACATGTTAAAGCTTGTAGGAGGAGTTTTCATTTTCCTGTATGAGGATGCAGAACCCCTGACCTCTGTCTGGGCAGTGCTGATTTGCCCTGTGCTGATCACATGCACTCTTCCAAGATAAAAAGAAAACCTCTAGCAATACACATTGAACTGAGATTGTGCAGTGTGACTCCACATGATATTTCTTAGTAGGCGATAAGAGGGGGACACTGGAAGAAAGGGGGGATCAGAGAAGTCAGGATCAAACAGCTTTTTTACACAATGCAGAGGATAACCACAATGAGTATAACAATCCTTGCTTTACTGCATATACAGACTGATTTTACTGTTGTGGGTTTAGTAACACTTTGATGTGTGTCTGCCTGGTTCACAAAAGACTCAATACTTTTTCTCATTAGTATCTAATATTTTGAAGCCTAGCCTCCATTAAAAAATCGTGTTTTTTTTTTTTTTTTTTTTTTTTTTTTTTTTTTTTTGTGCAGTTTGACCCTTTTTCAGCCACCGATGTAAGGCATACAGTGGCACCTAACTTCTTGCTGGCCAGATCAGTATACCTTACGTCAGTTCCATTCTCCCTTGTGCTATAAGACATTTTTACCAATCTGATTGAAGACAGTGAGTGATTGGTACCAGTAACTTCTGTGTTAACTGAAGCAGAGTAAACTGTGTTTACTAAGTCTTCATTTTGTTTATGAACAGGAAGTCTCTGTACATGGCACTTTTTCATTCATTGAGTGCAGCTTTGTGTTTCTGGGGTCTGTAAGATTCCTCCCACAAAACGGCTGGAAAAAAAACCAAGTAAAGAAATTTAAAACATTAAATGTAAAAAAGGATTATTATTAAATGTAAGTACTTACATAGACACTGTAATTTGAAAGTGTGGGGGGGGGGGGGGGGGGGGTTTGTTTTTTTTTTTTTTCTTGTGGCTGAAGCCACCTGGTGCTGCATGCCTATGGAACCAGCCACAATTTGACAGGCATGCAGGTACGGGTAAGTGGCCCCAAATGAAAACTGTCTGTGTTTAGTGCCACGCCTCTGTACCTGCATGCTTTTCAAATTAGGACTAGCTGCTGTATTCATAAAGCCATTGCATCTCCATAGAGTAACATAGGCCACCTGCAAGCATCTCCGGGTGGCTGAAGCTCCATAAACAACTGCTGATTCATGCTGTATAGGCTGCAGTGCCCGTTTGAATGACCCCTAAGACCTCATTCACACACAAAGTACGTCTGCACTGGAGAATCACAGGCATTTTCATACAGCAGCGAACAGCTTGTACAAATCAATGACAGGCTTACAGACACTGCAGCTATACGAATGTAACCGCACATCCTGTATGCAAACTGGGATGTTCATACATCCCTATATGCATGTAACTCCTTGAATGTGCAATCACATGCATCCAGCCATTGCATCTGTCAGCCTGTCACTGATTTGTACTGTATGCTGCCAATGGCTGTACGCAAATACCTATGATTCCCAAGCTCAATATACTTCTTCATGACACTGTACGGAGTAATGTGCAGCAGGATGGGAGGCCCAGGAGCTAATTATTTCAGCTTCAGGGCTTAGTGCTGGACCCCAGCTGTCTCCGTTCCAGCACAGAAGCTGTCCAGGTCCCAAAGGAAATCTCACAGGAACATATAGCCACTATCTCAGCACTGTTTTATAATGGCTCCTGGGACTCAAGTGGTTAGGGACAGATGCCTACTGATTTGTCAATGTTCTAATTCCAAGCAACTTGTTTGTATCGTGAACAAGTACGATATCTGAGAAGTGCAAGTTGTTCATTGATCTGTGTATAAATTTGTTTAGTGCCTGTGTTCCTCCTGCCATGCTGTGGTTTCTCCTGAAAACCACTACATCCTCAAACAAACCACAGTGCGCAAAGAGAATGCAAGCATTCCACAATTCTGGGTGCTGAAATTTTTCAGGAGACAGCAGTGCTGGAAAACGGAGGAGTTTTAACTTTCTGCTGTGCATTGGTTAGTATTCACAGGCTGCTTTTACTGGAGGAAATTGTTTTAGATCTTTTGGGCTGTACTTAGGAAGAAGGGGTAAACATGTCCTAAAAAAAATTTTTTAATGTTTATTTTAATGTTTCGGCAATAAAAAAAAGTATCATGGTGCTCATTTGCATTAGATCTAAAGTCTACAGTTTTCTGAATAGTTATTAATGACCTTGTCTTAAAAAGGTTTTTGGAGATAAACCCACACATTTGCACCTATACCTTTCTGCTGCAGATTGATAGAGATGCTGCTATCTCCCAGTGCAACTAGTAAAAGAGAAACCTAGAAAATCTAGAATCCATTGACATTTTCTGTTCCTACTTATGAGTTTTTACTTGTGCTGGCATATTTAATTAAGGCATATGTAAACCTTCTACTAATGTGATAGGTAAAACCTGCTATATTTGTTTAATAGTTTACTTTTATAAAAAAAACTTCAGAAGTCCAGAGTTAAAATGGTTCTAAAGGTTCAAGGTGTTTTACCTGAAAGCATTCTATGCATTCAGGTAAAAAAAAAAAAAAAAAAAAAAAAAAAAACCTGGGTGCAGTCAATCACAGCCAGTGAGCCAATGAGGAGGGGGCAGGCCGAGCGTGATCTGTGTGTGGATGGAACACACACAACGCAGCTTGGGAGTGAGCCTGCTAGATGCCCCCATAACAGGAGGCTTGCTACTGGGGGCACTCAGCAGGGGGGAGGAGCTAGGTCTGCCAGCAGGGAACCCAAAACGAGGAGGATCGGGGCTGCTCTGCGCAATACCATTGCACAGAGCAGGTAAGTATCACATGTTAATTAAAAAAAATAAATTCCTTTAGAATCACTTTAATAAAGCATTTCTGGTAAGGCCAACTGTTCTTGCTGGAAATGTTATCAGCCTTAATCACAACAAAAACACTACCACATCTAAGGACTGGTAAGCTGCAGCGTGATACATTTTTGTTCTTGAGTTTAGTTACCCTTTAACAAAATTTTACTTTAATTTTAACCACTTGAGCTCCAGAGGATTTACCCCCCTTAATGACCAGGCCTCTTTTTGCTACTCGGCACTGCACTAATTCAACTGATAATTGCGCGGTCATACAATGCTGCACCCAAACAAAATTTACGTCCTTTTTTTCACACAAATAGAGCTTTCTTTTTGTGGTATTGATCATCTGTGCGCTTTTTATTTTTCACGCTATAAACATAAAAAGGCCAAAAATTTTGAAGAAAAACAAATTTTTTTTACTTTCAGCTATAAAAAATATATAGTAAACTCAATGTTGGTTATAAATTTAGGCCAAAATGTATTCTGCTACATGTTTTTGGTAAAAAAAAATCCCAATGAGTGTATATTGATTGCTTTGTGTGGAAGTTATAGCGTCTACAAACTATGGTATAAATACTGCAATTTACACCATTTTTCTGCTATACAGCGCTGCGCTAGTTGCGCAGTCGCTAGTTGCGACAATTGCGCAGTCATGCAATATGGTACATAAATGAAATTTACATCCTTTTTTTTTTTCCCCACAAATTGAGCTTTCTTTCGGTGGTATTTGATCGCCTGTGCGGTTTTTATTTTTTGCGCTATAAAAAAAAAGGCTGACAATTTTGAGGGAAAAAAAAAAAATTTGGACTTTTTGCTATAAAACATGTCCAGTAAAAAAAAATGCAAAAATCAAATTTAGTCATAAATTTCTGCCAAATTCATTCTGCGACATGTCTTTGCTAAAAAAAAACCCCAATACGTGTAAACTAATTGGTTTATGTGAAAGTTATAGCGTTTACAAATGGCGGGAAAGATACTGGGATTTTTAGTTTTTTTTTTTTCATACTAATAATGGCGGCAATCAGCGAATTATGGCGGCGATCAGGGACTTATGGCAGCGACCAGCGATTTATGGCGGGACTGCGGTGGGCATTCTGACATTGGGGGGTACTGACTTGGGGTCACTGACATCCCCAAAAACACTAATACAGTGATCAGTGCAAAAAAAAAAAACTGACACTGTACAATTGGTAATGGGGAGGAAGGGGTTAACTTTATTTTGCAGGGAAGGGTTATAGGAGTGAGGGGGAGTGTTTTACTAGGGGGCAGGGGTGTGTGCTGCACGGGACAAGGCTGATCGAGAAAGAGAAACTCTTCTTTCTCGATCAGCTCATCCTCGAGCTGACAGGGAAGTGACAGACAGCACAGCTACTGCAGCTGTGCTCTCTGTACTGTTTGCCGCCGATCGCCGGAACATAGCTGCTAACGAGCGGCTGTGACCCGGTGACTCACATCTGCGGCGGTGATCCGCGGGACAAATAGGGCGGCGGCGCGCCTTGCGCGCGCCCCCTATTTGTTTACAAAACACACGTCTTAAAACGTGGTTTTGCCTGTGAGTGCCGCCCTGCCGCCGTATATGTACAGTGGCTGGGCGGCATGCGGTTAACCAGTCCCAGTCCAGGCAAATTAAGACATTTCTCTCATACTCTTGCTAAAAAAAATATATTTGTTTAAGCAGAGACCCTGGAAAATAAAATGTTGGTTGTTGCAATTTTTTTTATGTTGCACTATTTTTGTGCTGCAGTTTATCAACCCAATTAAGGATGAGTCATTTATAGCCTGCCATAGGGTTCTCACCTTCATTAAGGATGACATGACAACTACATTTCAGTCCTTTTCGATCCCTGCTGGTTAGAATGCAGACACCGCTGGGGCCTTGGACCCAGTCACTGCTGCAATATCAGAAGCATTGAGAAGGGAGGAGGACCCAGAAGAGCATCCTAGGTCCCTTGCTTCCTCACACAGGTTCAGGCTCAGAGGAGGACGACGGTGAAGCTTGCTCCTTCCGAGGTTCCAGGTACAAATTGGCCCTTGATGATGTAGACGACCTCCTTAAGGCTATCTATGAAACCTTAGAGTTCGAGGAGGAGGACGTATGTCTGTCTAAGCATGACCTCATGTATCGGGGTCTACATGCTAAAAGACTAGGGTCTTTCCAGTCCATAGTTCCCTGGTTGATGCCATTAAGCTGGAATGGGAAAACCCTGAAAGGAAGCCCTTTTTTTCTGGTAATCTTAAAAGATTTCCTTTTGAGGATGATGGATCCCAACCATGGAACAAGATTCCAAAGTTGGACGCCCCCTTATCTAAAGTCTCTAAAAAGACGGACTTAGCATTTGAAGACATGGGGGCCCTAAAGGATCCTATGGATAAAAGAGAAGTCTTACTCCGGAGGGCCTGGGATTTCACCTCTACTTTAAGCTGGCTTTATC